TCAGTATCGATCTCACTATCGATCTCACTCAACGGGACACCACGGGACACCACGGGACACCTGTCGATCGCACTGTCGATCTCACTATCGGTCTCACTCAACGGGACACCACGGGCCACCACGGGTCACCACGGGACACCGCGGGACACCTCTCGATCTCATCATCGGTCTCACTATCGATCTCACTATCGTCCGTAGCCAAATTTGTTTCAAGCCATTCTTGCTCAAGGAGTCCACTTTGACCCAAGTTGCCTTCTTCAGTCGTTCCCGCGTGGCCAGTCTGAGGACCTCCTTGCCAATTTCGCTGCAATGGCAAATTTGACGTATGCCGGTCGCATCTACCAGAACCCGATGAACCTCAAGGAGATCTGGGCCAACATTGGCTGGAATACGCAGGGCAACCAGCTATTCCCGCCGTGGGAACCCGCACTTGGGGCATACGTGTCTGAGGGCGACTACAATAAGATCATGGACGCCCTCCGGTCCGAGTTTGCAAACAGCCCCACCGGGAATTGTGCCTTAGCACTCTGCGCCATGATGCTCTGCCAGCTCACGATGGGAATCCTCTCCTGTCCTCTGTGCTAACTGAAGATGAAGGTCAACGAGTTCAACGCGAAGCTCAAGGAGCTTCCCGGCAGTCTGGGATTGACTGGGGTTCGCATTGAGATGACGGAGTTGGCGGGCCCGTTCAAGGGGAATTGGGTGGATTCGAAAGGGCAGCCTTTGATGATACGTAGGGGGAAGCATGGATCTCAGCCTGGGGGGCCACCTCTGGGCTACAACGTCATTTTTACCTTGCCGGCAAGTCTGTCATGGCCGCCCAACGGTGCGCCAGGACAACACATGATGGCGACCCCAACGACCGCCGTTGTCATTGGGGCTCAAGACGCCACCCAGAAGATCATGTCGCTCAAGCAGTTGCTCGATGCAGGTGCGCTTACTCAGGAAGAGTTCGACGCGAAAAAGCAGCAGCTCATGGATCAGATGTGAGCGTGGTGACATCTATGGGGCCTCAGCTAGATACCAGTGTAAAGCCGCCAGCGCCTTAGAGTCTGCGGCCTCAACCGCACTTTCTTTTTTTTTGTCCCAACCATCCTGTGGTTTGGGTCCTCGTTGCCCCCTCCCTCCTCCCATCCCTGCTTCTGCTTTCCGCCTTCGCTCCCCCGCTCTTTGCTCCTCACTCCTCAAGCAATTCGGCTGAAGAGCTGTCTCTCCCGCTCGTGCATGGACTGCTGCTGAGTCGCGTTGCGCGGCACTGCCGCCAATGTGGTCGAAATTCTTCAGCGGGCCGTTCGATATACTACCCTCGCACAGGCATGTCGGCGTTGTGAGGCCGTTTTGCAGGTAAGCGCCGCGTGCGGACAGTTCGGTATTTTGTCCGCAGGGTCTGGTCGCGTCTGATCCTCCCTCACCCGTCCTCTTTCGCCCCTTGCCTCTTCCATGAGCTCTCGGCAGCCGTCTTGCAGGTGTTGGACTATCGATCTCATTATCGATCTCGCTCAATGGGATACCTTAAGGACACCATGGGGCACCGGGACACCTGTCGATCGAACCATCGATCTCACTATCGGTCTCACTCAACGGGACACCACGGGACACGGCGGGACACCTGTCGATCTCGCTATCGATCTCACTATCGATCTCACTTTTTGGGACACCACGGGACACCTCGGGGCACCACATCGATCTCACTATCGGTCTCACTATCGATCTCACTCAACGGGACACCACGGGACACCTGTCGATCTCATTATCGATCTCAATATCGATCTCATTTTTGGGTACACCACGGGACACCACAGGACACCTCGGGGCACCACATCGATCTCAATATCGATGCCGGGACGCCCGGGACACCCGGGACACCGGGGACACGCCCGGCCAAACCGGCCACCAGCGAACGGAAAAACGCTCGGGACACCCGGGACACCCGGCATACCGCCCGGCCCAAATGGCCACCGGCGGATGGGCACCCGGACTTTCGCTCCTACTTCGGCCTAGCTACATGAGAATCACGCGCAGCTTCGCATCGCCCGCACGCACGACACGAACACGAAACCGAAACCGATTTCCCGGCGTGGGGTCTCCGTTTCATTGCGATCTCACCCCCCAACCTCCGATCATCACTAAGTAGAATATGACAGAACATCACATAACATACCATGGCAGAACATGACATAACAGACAGAACACAACATAGCAGAATAGAGCCGAGCATCACACAACACACCTTGACATAACATATCCGATCATGTCACAGCATCGCAGAACTGACCATGACACGACAGCACAGCATAGCGACGTCGATCACGACAGAACGCAATGACAGAACAGAGCATGAGCATGACAGAACATGACAGAACATAACATAGCAATATCATGACAACGTAGTAGATCATCATAGCATAACATCACAGAACATACCACAGCAGAACATGACAGAACATACGTTGGCAGAACACAACATAACATAACATAACCGAACATATCACACCTTGACATAACATGTCATAGTATGGCACAGCATGACATAACATACCATAACACGATAGCGAACATACCGACTACGAACACGACATAACACAACAGCATATAACATCACATAACATCACATAACATAGCATAGCATAACATGGCATACCATAAGACGACATAACATAACATAATCGAGCATACCACAACATACCTTGAGAGCATATCATATCATGACACATCATCATCGAACGTATCATCACACGACATCAGAGCATAGCGACATATACTAGCGGAGCCTCTCATTATATTAAATACAGAGCTGGGCCGTCAACAAACAGAACACCACAGAACATACCAGAGCAGAACAGGGCATAACAGAAGACGACATAACACAAAATAGCATAACAGAGCCGAGCATAGCACAGCACACGTTGACATAACATATCCGATCATGGCACAGCATCACATAACCTATCATAGCACGACAGCACAACATGGCGAAGTCGAACACGACAGAACACAACATGACACAACTGAGAATGACAGAGCAGAACACGAGCATGACAGGACATGGTAGAACAGAACATAGAAATGTCATGACAAAACAGGGCATACCAGAACACCACATAACATACCAGAGCAGAACATGACAGAACAGAAGACGACATAACACCAATAACATAACAGAGCCGATCATACCAGAACACTCCTTGACATAACATATCAAATCATGGCGCATCATCACAGAACCAATCATAACACGACAGCAGAGAATAGCGACGCAGATCAGCAGAGCATATCATACTATTCTATACAGCTGAGCCGTCAACACACATAACCTCACATAACATACCAGAGCAGAACATGACATAACAGAAAACGACATAACACACTATAACATGATACAACCAAGCGTACCATAACACACCATGACAGAACGTATCTTAGATCACCATGGCATATCATATCATGGCAGACAGCATCACATAACATATCATAACACGACAGCACAGCACATCGAACCATCTTAGCAGAGCCGATCATAATATACTACCCTGGGCTAGGCTGATCTGTCAACAGCATCACTGAACAAAGCATATGGAAACATATGATAGCATATCATGTCGAGCCATGTGACGAGCCCGAAGTGCCACGTGATGAGCGTCATCGGTGGTGACTTCAACTAGGTGGCTGAGGGGGCGGACCAGACCTCGAAGGACAACCGTCTCTTCGATCCAATCCGGCAGGCGAGCATCCGAGACAAGGCCGATGAAGACCATTGGCAGGAGGGCCTCTGCCAGAAACACAGCTTCCACGAGCTTCACCAGACGCAGGCGATTCGCGATCACGCGGGGTGCCGATCAGGGATCGACAGGGTACACTGGAACGCACATGTGCCCAC